TTTATTTGACTTGTTTTATTTTTTTTCAACTTCAACTTGAATGTGCATATGAGCATGACAGGGAACCACCAGAAATTCAAGCTGGATTCAGAAGAGCATGTGGAACAAGGGATATGATTGCTGATGTCAGAAGATCTTGGCTGAAAGCAAAGAATAGCAGAAAGATGTTTACCTGTGTTTTACTGACTATGTAGAGGCATTTGACTGTGTGGATCATAACAAATTATGGGTAACATTGCGAAGAATGGGAATTCTAGAATACTTAATTGTACTTATGAGGAACCTGTATTTATAGCAAGAGGCAGTGTTCCAACAGAACAGGGGGATACTTCATGGTTTAAAATCAGGAAAATTGTGTGTAATGGTTTTATCCTTTCACTGTAGTTATTCAGTCTGTATGCTCAGGAAATAATCAGAGAAGCTGGAGTAAGAAGAATGCAGCATCCGGATTGTATGAAGACTCATTAACAACCTGTGATATGGAGATGACAAAACCTTGCTTGCTGAAAGCATAGAGGATTTGAGGTACTTTCTGATGAAAATCAAAGACCACAGTCTTCATTATGGATTACACCTCAACATAAAGAAAAATCCTCACAACTGGACCAATAAGCAACATCATGATAAATGGAGAAAAGATTGAAGTTGTCAGGGATTTCCTTTTCCTTGGATCCACAATCAGTATCCATGGAAACAGCAGTGAAGAAATCAAATGACATATTTTTATTGGGCACATCTGCTGCAAAAGGCTTCTTTAAATGTTTAAGAGCAAACATGTCACTTTGAAGACAAGGGTATATCTGACTCAAACCATGACATTTTCAGTAGCCTCATCTGCATGTTGTAGCTAGGCAATAATAAGGAAGACCACAGAAGAATTGCTGCATTTGAATTTTGGTGCTGCGAAGAATATTGAGTGTACTGTGGACTGCTAGAAGAATAAACAAATCTGTTTTGGAAGAAGTACAGCTGGAATGCTCCTTAGAATTGAGAATGGCCAGACTTCACCTCTTGTACTTTGGTCTGTTGTCAGAAGGCACCAGTCCTGGAAAAGGATATCATGCTGGGTAGAGGATCAGTGAGAAAGGGGAGGACCCTGAATGAGATTGTTTGACACAGTGGCTGTGAGGACGGGTTCAAGTATGGCAACGATTGTGAGAATGGCACAAGACCAGACAGTGTTTCATTCTGTTGTATATAGGGTTGCTGTGAGTTGAAACCAGCTCTTCGGCACCTAACATGAACAACAACGTTTTCCCTAGTTTGTCTTTTGAACATTTAATTGCCTACCATTTGAATTTCCTAGGTGCTGGCACTATCCTCTTAGACAAGTGACCCAAGGCTGGAGTTTTTGTCCTAATGAGAGGAAACAATATACAGATGATCAAGATAATTTACAGTTATGGTCCAGGCTAAGGAGGTTTGGTGGTGTAGTGGAAAGGCATTTGGCTGCTAACCAGAAGGCCACCAGCTCCTCCATAGAAGGAAGATGGGGCAATCTACTTCCGTAAAGATTTACAGTCTCGGAAACCCAGTGGGGGTTGCTATGAGTCAAAATCGACTTGATGGCAGTGAGTTTTTTGGTTTGATCTAGGCTAAGAAGGAAGTAAAACAGGATATCATTATGATGAGAGGAAGGTGGTGGGGTGGGAGTCTGGTTATGTAGAAAGCTGAGTGGGAGATAACAGTTGAATCTAGCCCTGAAAGACTAGATGGAATAAGCCATTCAAGTAACTGGGAGGAAGAGATATTGCAAAGGCACCAAGGCAGGTGTGAGCCCAGTTTTTTTAGAGTTGATATATAGTTAACAAGGGAATCAGATATGGTTGGAAAGGCGACAGGAGCCAGCTCCTGCATCTAGCAAGCCATGAGGAGTACAGACTTTGTACTAAGTATAATAGGAAATCTTTGGAGATTATTAAGCAGGATGTTCTTTTTTTTTTTTTTTTTTTAGGATTTGGGTGAAGATTTACAGAGTAAATTCACTTTTCATACAGCAGTTCACATATACTTTGTCTCATGTCATTGACCAAAATTTACAATGCAGCAGCTCCCCGCCCACTTCCTCCCCATAGTTACCTCCTCCCAGTGTCCATCCCTTCATACTCTTCAAGCAGGATGTTCTTATAAGTATGTTTACAAGTCATTTCAATTCTTTGACAACTTTTAATGACTGCTTACTATTTCATGGTTATATATTAAGCCATTTGTTGGAAATTTTTATTTTGAATATTATAAAATCTTGGTAAGCAGATTAGATTGTCGCCTTTGGCTACTTTCCTGCAAGTAGAACGTATGAGTATTTTTTAAAGGTGTTTGATAACGTGAAATTCAACAGCCCACTGGCGTGTGCTTTTGTGTTACAGACTGTGTTAACGACAGCTACTGGTTTGGGCGGGACAGAAGCTGTGAATATTGCTTTGATGAGCCATTGCTGAAAACGACAGACAAATACCGGACGTACAGCAAGAAACACTTCCGGATTTTCAGAGTAGGTGACAAATATATCCATGTACCTGACAGGGCTGGTAATCTAATCATCACTCATGGACCTTCTACTATAAATCCCCTTTGTTAAACCTTTGAAACCAAATGTTCTCTATTTTAGGAAATGGGTCCTAAAAACTCTTACATCGCATACATAGAAGATCACAGTGGGAATGGAACCTTTGTAAATAGAGAGCTTGTAGGGAGAGGAAGACGCCTTCCTTTGAATAACAATTCTGAAATTGCACTTTCAGTATGGAATAATAAAGGTAATCATTATTTTATGTTAAAGTTCCTGGATTTTTTTCCACCTATGTAAAAGGAAGATTGACACTTGTGTCTTTGCAGACTATGGTTTGTCAGAGTTCACATTCAAGATTTAACTCTCCTAATTACATTTTTTTCAAAAAGGATTTTGTTGTTGTTGTTGCAGATATATTCAGCATAACATACACCAAGTCAACAGTTGCTACATGTACAATTAGGGGACATCTATTACGTTCTTTGAGTTGTTCTCACCCTCATTTTCTGAGTTGTTCCTCCCTCACTAATGGACATTCATTATCCCCTAAGGCTCCTGTCTAATCTTTTGAGTTGCCATTGTCAGTTTGATGCCATATAGGTAGTTCTTAAAAGAGCATGGTGCAAACCCACGAGCCACTCCCCGGAAGGAAGGTTGGGCAATCTATTTCTGTAGTGATACTGCCTCGGAAACTCAAGGAGGGGTCACTATGAGTCAACTTTGAGTCGACGGCAGTGATTTGGTGTTTTTAAAAGAGCGTAATGGTCAAGGTAGACTCCCCCCCCC